AGCAGCCAGGTGCAAGAGCAGCTGCGGAACGTCCAGCACATCCAAGCAAGTGCCGGTGCTTTTGCCGCCATTCTTGAATCCGGGGCTGTTGTGACCTGGGGTGATCCAGAAGACGGCGGAGACAGCAGCCAGGTGCAAGAGCAGCTGCGGAACGTCCAGCACATCCAAGCAACTACCCAGGCTTTTGCTGCCATTCTTGAATCTGGCGATGTTGTGACCTGGGGTGATCCAGAAGACGGCGGAGACAGCAGCCAGGTGCAAGAGCAGCTGAGGAACGTCCAGCACATCCAAGCAACGGACAGGACTTTTTTTGCCATTCTTGAATGTGGCGATGTTGTGACCTGGGGTCGGGCACATCGTGACAGCAGCGAGGTGCAAGAGCAGCTGAGGAGCGTCAAGCACATCCAAGCAACTAACCAGGCTTTTGCTGCCATTCTGGAATCTGGGGCTGTCGTGACCTGGGGTCGTGCAGATTACGGCGGAGACAGCAGCCAGGTGCAAGAGCAGCTGAGGAACGTCCAGCACATCCAATCAAGTGCCGGTGCTTTCGCTGCCATTGTTGCATCTGGGGCTGTTGTGACTTGGGGTGTTCCATACATTGGCGGAGACAGCAGCCAGGTGCAAGAGCAGCTGAGTTTGTAATCTAGTCCGGTTGTAGTATTCGATTGTAGATGGTGCAATGAAAGAGGGGGTCACAGGCACCAACAGTCACGGTGCTCACCTGAAGTGGCCACGAAGTTTACTGGGGAACCACCCCAAAAGTGAGTTTTAGAGAACTTGGTGTTGGTTCTCGTTTTGGCTCCCCTCTAAACCAACCTGAGAAGGGAAACAAGAGCCTCAAAAAACAAGCGTGGCCTTTGGTTTCAGCCCTTGTTTCCACGGACACCAAAAACACGAACACAAAATTACAGGTCTATGGTCCATTTGGGGACAGAACTCACAATAGTTCGCACAAAATCCAGGGGACTCACTCAATTTCCACATGTCCTTAGGGGAAACGTGGCTTATATGGGGGTGTCTGGTCTTAGGGGGACTTTCTACTGGAGGACCTAGTAGACATGTTATCAACTGATTCTGACTTGAGAATCACACCAGGAGAACACTGCGCAAGTAACCAGATGCATTGTCGCTCCCAAACCGCGCAAGCCAACCTCGGGGCACATCATCTTTTTGAGTTGCCGGTGAATTCAGAGATTCTGCGAGAAGGATTGAAACAGACGGACCCGCTATTGGTAGTAGTGTCCAAAGCTTTGTTGGTTGTTCACGAAAAGAGCCATCATGTGGACCCGTCTCAAAAAATAGAGAACCCCCTCCCCCCAAAATGAGTGGTTTCCATTTGGTTTTTGTTGAAAGCCATCCCAACAAATTTGTACTAACTCAAAAAAAGGCACCCATCTCCTCCTTCATCATTTTACTTCACACGCACATTTGCCCTTGATCGTACGTTTCTTTTGCAAAGCCCCCGAAGGATGCCGCGGAAGCGGCGGGCGCCATGCAAGCACGTCTGCAAAGCAACCCGGAGAAGACCTCCTGGGCTCGTCACTTCAGGTGGTTCGTTTGCCAGCTGGTTTCTTTGTTTGCTTGTTTGTTTGTTTGTTTGTTTGTTTGATTGATTGTTTGTTTGTTTCTTTTTTTGTGCATTGTGTCGTCTCGTTCTCCATATATTTCTTGGGGTTTGTGAACATGTTCAGGAGGTTCGAGTTTCTTGGCAAAGGTTTGGCAGTTGTTTCACCTGGGGGAGTTTTTTTTTTGGGGGGGGTCTTGCTTCGCACGTGTTCTGATCCGGCTTGCTTGTTGGTATGGAGGTTTGGCAAGCTTGTATGGCTGTGGGTCACAACTAATGGTACCATTTGGGGTAGGTGCACCACCCATTTTAGTCGATTTTAGTGGTTGGATTGGGATGTTCACTGTGGGTTTCCGGGTCTTGACCCTGCCATGGCTCTGGGCTGTGCGTGTCTCGGTTTTCTCCATATCGCCGCGCTCCCATGACAGCTAGGCAGACATGGCTGGAGTGGGTCTTGTGCAGACTTCCGGACGACTTTCTTTCTGTGTGTGCTCTTGGTGGCTCCCAGCCACCCGGTTCCTTAGCCTTTTAGCCTTTTTAGGGTTTCGTGGTAGTTTCCATGTAAGCCACTAAAAGTTAAACTTTTAGCGGGAGATCTGAGGGCAGCCCCAGGGTTGAACACGTGCCTTTGCTATTCTGGAGGCACGGTCGAACCATGCGCCGCCCATTTGACCGATTCCCTCTCGACTTCACGCGGCCAGATGTGAGCGCCCGATTCACTTGTGCAAAGGCAAGCGCCTTACGATTGCGGTGGGTCCAGCTTGACTCTTCTGCGCAGGGTTTTCTACCTTTCTGACTACAGGGTAGACTTAAACCCAGGGGTGGTTCATTCCCCCCAAAAGGAGAACTTCTGGGTTTAAGTCTATCTTGGGGTAGCCAAAACGTGGGAACCCTGCAAGCATGAAATACGCAGAGGGGGGCAAGCGTGCGTGCGGGAAGACGCGTGAGGCCAGGCCAAGCTTGAGGAAGCTTTGCAGAGGCGGGAGAAGAGTCATGCCGGTTGAAATGCCTTTTGCGGCTTGAAGCACAGCGAATCTCCATTATTGTTCGAAGCCTCGCAAGTTCAGCCCGTCTTTCTCCAGTTCAGCCCACTCAGCGCAGCGAAGGCTACTTCCCAAGATGAAGCCTCCAAGGTGCTGCGTCCTTAGCGTCTTGCTTGTACTTGCGCTTGTGAAGTCTAGCTCAAAGTTCAAGCCCGGGGTTTGTGCAATCCAGGTGATCTGTACATGAACATTACCGGCAAGAACATCAAGGCAGCGCACGAGCCAGATTGCTCATAGCAGTTCTGGAAGGCTTTCCCATACGGTGAGTGGCCAGATGTGTCAATTGCGACTTGTGGCAAAGGTGCATGAACAGGTTGGTAGCTTCGCTTAAGCCTTAATTTGTCCGTATGCTCAGATCGTATTTCTATTGTTACCTCGAGTCTCCGTCGGAACGCTATGCCCCAGGTGGTGGATGGCTTCAGAAGCATTCGGCTACCTTTGTGTCGACATACTTGCGTTTGGGGGTAAGATTAGGAGTGGGGGAATGGTGTTTGGAGGCTTAGGGTTCAGGTCTGGCTTACGGCTTCGCTTTGGGGCACAAGCCTCAAGAATGGGCGGTATCGTTACTGTCATGTTTCGAGATTCTTGAATGGAGGCAGTCAGTTCCATTGAATCCGATCTATTGACATGATAATAATTATCACAGATAGCTCATGGGTTGTTCAGTTGTTGACTGTGGTTTGAGCCATCTACTGTAAAATATCCTGTATTCTCCACATCAACTGCACGTGAAATCAGAAGACGCAAACGTCCCCTTTCACATGGGAGCATCATACTTGTTTCCATGGGCGTGGGTTGATCTTTTCAAGAAGGGAAGGCAGGACACCACTTGAATGGAGAGGATGCATTGCCCCCCAAAAAAACACATCCCTCCGACGGAAAACCCCCCAAACAGAGAACATCCCGACCACCGGTGTTGCCCCATCGCCGGCGCGCGCCGGACTCCTTCTCCGAGGCGACCGCCGTGCCAAAGGGGCGCGTGAGTCACCTTCGACCGGGTTGGAGCGGGTAGCGGGTGCTGCGCGTGAGGCCGGCGCCAGCCGAGAGGAGATCGTGCCTGGACTTGCACCCGTAGGTGTCCTTTTTGGTGGTTTTGGTCGAAAAATAGATGGCGATTCCGATCGGTTTACCTGGTGGTTTGATCAGGGAAATCCATCTATTTCCCCTAAAAGGACACCTAAGCAGATGCCGCGCAGGCAATTTAGGGCTCTTGGTGGAGTCTACGGCAAGCTGATATGTTAGCCTTTGGATGGCGAGTTTTTGTCTAGGAAGCTCAGTTTAGTCTACCGAAATCTTGTTTCAGGTTGTCATAAATTGATCTTAGTCTGCGGGAAATCATGCTGGCCACCAAGAAGGAGTTGCCCTTCCACCCTGGTAGGGCGGGTAGGCCTGGTCATAAAGCTGGAGGTGCAACATGCTAGAGAACGTTGTTGTTTTTGTCACGCAGACATTGGGCTGTAATGGCCAGCAACTGAGTTTGGTCTACGGGATCATGTCAGCGGCCAAGACGCAAATCATAGCTTTTAAAGGACAAACGGTAGTTCCAACAGACTCAACTTTCCATAGGCTCAAACTGGTAGCCACCAATTTGGGCATTCTCTTTCTGTGTGCCCTGGACTTGGTATTTTTTGGCCAGGGGTACGCTCTTTCGTGGAACGAAGAAGCTGCGAGCGGCGGACACGCCGTTTTGCCTGCCTGCCATACCAAACCTGGAACAAATCACAGACTTTGAAGTTGAGTTCTGTTGGAGTTCCGCAGCTGAATGGTTGATGGTGCAGCACGTGCTTTACTGCCTCGCAAAACTGCATCCATGCAGTGCACATTTGGGACAACTCGTGCCTTTTGCCAGCTAAATTGTATCGTATTCAGATAGCTCCAGATGACAGCGTGGCATAATGGCAAATTACCCAGCGAAATGTCAGCATTGGAAAAACAAGAAACCAGAATAGCGCCACCAGCATGAAAGAATGGATACAAGGGATGGCCTGAATCCGAAAACTTTTTTCCCGGGATGAGATTAATCATCAGGGCACCGTGCCATGTACTTTGATGGTTCTAGGCTGCACCTCGCAAGATGTTGAACCTGTTTTGGTCCCACCAGTAGCATGAATCAACCGCATGAAGTGGAGTTGGGCCGAAAGTTAGCGACTCGTGCATTGAATGTGTCATTCTTTGTACTGGCATTTGGACAGGTGCAGGGTTCCATTTTCCAAAGCGTGGCCATTCCATTCCCATTTCCCAAGAACCACATTTTCTATGTTTTGTATTGCGAAGAGGACAAAGAGGAGCTCATTCAGCCGAAACTGGGCTTAGTATCAGCAGTAAGGTATGCTCCCAATCGGGATTCCCGGCTGCAGACCCCTCATGTCTCGCAAGACTCTTGACCTGAAAAGGCCGGGATCACGGAGTTCTACGAGGTTAACCCTATGAAGCAGCTGAAGGCCCGGCGATGCTCATGAACCACAAGGGTTGGGGCATGCTTTTGTGACCTGCGGGCGCTCCGGACCGATTCAGAGGCACATGCACAATTAGGGAGGGAGTTTACAGGACATTGATTGCAGCCTGTTTGCCTCTCTCTCGCTCTCTCTCTCTTTCTACTTTTCCTCTCTTTCTCTTTTTCTCTTTCTTTTTTTGTTTTCCTGATGGAAGAATAAAGCGGGGGGGCAGACACAAAAACAACCAGTGCCGCGGGCATGCCATACAACCAGGATTCCACGGTATGCACGTGGGCAGAGATTCTTGACCATGCCTCCAAGGTGGCCTACGTGAGTTTGTCTTTGTTTGTGGCTTTGGAGACCAAAAGGAATCCAAGCAAAGTGGACCGCCTGTCTCCATTGACTCGAGCCCCAAATTTGGCGAGAATTCCCAGGCCATGATGAAGCGAATCGACCAGAGCACCTGGAGCTCGACCACGAATGTGGACGTGTGAGGAGTTGTGAACGCCAGAACAGCTCCGAGGCGCTTTAAAGTGTGACCAAACGGGGCTGGAGCTCTGTCTAGATGTGGTTCATAGAGTTAGCGTTGTCTTTGAGTGCGTGTTTTCTTCCATGTTGCCATTGAAGGTGCCTTGGCAATGACGTAGACAGGCACGCAGGTGTGCGACAGCAAAGCAAAAGCGCGCACGTGGGCGGTTCTGAGACCAGGTGACGTCCCTTGTGTGAATTGAAAGCAAGGGTATCCACTTTCGCGTGGTCCACCCAGACCCATTCCTCTGCAACCTGTCCGCCGAGTCATCAAACATGTTTCCTCAAAGCCAGGGATTTGGATCATGTCCACAAAGCATGCCGTGTTTTTCTCATGTGTAGGGCTACCTTACAGCTTGACGCAAGTTTTCGCGCGGTTGGTGTCACCGGCCTCTCGTGACAGCTTTCTTTTGCAGGTTCATTCGGACATGATCCTCTCAAGTCTGAGCCCACGAAAGTCATCGAATGTCACACCTGAACCCTGCCATTTGCAAAACGGGAAAGGGGCAATTCGCGATCTGGTATGATGTGGGTAAAGGCAAAGGGAGGATGAAGATGATTGCAATGAAAAACAGCGACGATTAGGGTGAAGAGGAGGATGAGGATGAGGATGGTGGTGGTGATGGTGGTGGTGGTGGTGATGGTGATGGTGAAGTTGTGCTGATGATGTATGATGGTCATGATTGTTGATGACAATGACGATGATGATGGTGGTGGTGGTGGTGGTGGTGGTGATGGTGAAGTTGCTGCTGATGATGTATGATGGTCATGATTGTTGATGACAATGCGATGATGATGGTGGTGGTGGTGGTGGTGATGGTGAAGTTGCTGCTGATGATGTATGATGGTCATGATTGTTGATGACAATGACGATGATGATGGTGGTGGTGGTGGTGATGGTGGTTGTTCGTTCTATAAGCTGGAACATGGCATGTCGCTTGCAAGCGGTTTTTGCATTTGCCTGTAGTGTCTCCAAAGCTCGGACCGGGCCAAAGCGAGCCCATCAAGACGCCGAGGCAGGGGCAATCGCCTTGGCGAATTGAACAGACTGCGCTCGTGCACCTTTCCAGACTTACGATTTTGGCTTCGAAACTTTGCAGGTCTGAATCCCACATAAGAGTCTGAAAGCTGGCAGCGGCCGTTTTTGCGTGGCTTGGAGCAGTGGTGGCCCATTTGAGGACCTAGTGCTTGAAAACTACATAGCTCAATTGCAGTCTTCGTAAAAGAAGGGCGACGAACCTGAGGGAGCTTGGCTCATTTCATCATTCTTTCCGAGCAGAAACACGCAGGGACGGAAAGCACTCAGCAATTCAAGGAGAACCGAGCATTTGCAGGCATATTTTGAGGTTACGCAGTTTGGTTCGAAATAGATGGTGGTTCAGATTGCTTTCTCTTTCTTTTTTTCCTTCACTTCCCACGGGCATGGAATTTCTTCCAAGCTACCTATCGATGCGCCCATTGCTCCGCTTCGCGGCCCCGGTTCTTTTCTGGGCTCTTAGGCTTGCGCCGCTCTAGCGCCGCTCTAGCGCCGCTCAGCCGCGCCGCTCAGCCGCGCCGCTCCAGCGCCGGTGCCAGGTGCATGTGATGTCCTTCCAGGACTGGTGGAGCGGCCTACTGCCAGGGCCCCGATTCCAAGGAGAGCTCCTGCTCCCCAAGGTCCGCTGGACCGGAGCAAGACGGCGTTGTTGTGGTTCCTTTTTTTTTCTCTTTCTTTTTGGTTTTGTTTTGAGGTTGTTTTTCTTCCAGTTCTTTTTTCCCCACGTTTGTTGTGTGTGTGTGTGTGGTTCTTTTGTGTTCCCGTTTTACGTCTCGCTTGAACCAAAAGTGCAGGGTGACGAATGTTGACGAATGTGACTTACAGCCTCTGCATCACTGCAAGTCGCTGTGGTTCCTGGACATGTCTATGAGACGATCAGCCGCCACCTCGCGTCCAGGGCAAATCGTACTGAGCACCCAACACATGCCTTTCATGCCTTTAAGCGCTAGACAACAACGCATCCTATCGCATGACATGGGTGGCTCGGTTGTTTTTTGTTTTTCGGAGCCGATTTTTGGTTGGTTTCACAGGAAGATCAAAAGAAAGCCACCATGTTGAGGGTGAAAACTTAGCGTCCAACCTGTAACAGCGACACGTCCATATTTGGTAATCATCCACCTTTTATAGGGCACCTCGTCGCACATTGTATCACATTGCAACATACATCCAGATCAGCTTCAAGCCACGTGCACTGATCTTTCTCAGTCAATTGTGTCGTATGTATGATGCTCTTCCCTTGGCCCATGACGGTAGGTGGTTCTACTCCTGGTTTCATAGGGTCGTTAAAATCATGTTAGTAACAAGCAAAACACCATGTCAATTCTGAGGGTTTTTGTATTACACCCTGCGATTACACCCTTGGGAAATGACCCCGAATGGTTCAAAATTACACGGCTTTATCCGGAAATATGGCTAAACGGGGAAATACCCAGTGGGTGTATTCCCAGGTTGTAGTACAAAAACCCTTAGATCAATGCGTTTTGGGCGCTACTCTTTTTGACTTCAACTCTTCACGGGCTGATACTTACCATGGGTTCGTCCAATCAATCAGTCAAATTTTGCAGTGTCAGGTTTGGGGTAGTTCCCACAGGCGAAGAGTCTTATGTGGCCCGTACATCCTGTGTTCATACCTCTCGAGCTAACGATTGTTTTCGATGTTCCAATCGGGCTTGGAGCACCGATTGGCAAACTGATCCGGCGTGTGATCGACTCCTTCCAAGCTCATGCGGCCGGTCCGACCGAACAGCCTGCTTTGGCCGAAATAAGTCTTCAGGCCAAGAATAAGGACTTGCTTTGCTGCCGCATGCAGCACTCATGCGGAAGATGGCTGGTTGATTGCGAGGAGAGTGACCCAGGTGCATGGTTCGGTTTGCTGCGCCAGCGAGTGCAAAGTGATGCGAAGACGCTGCTATGTGGCACAGCCCAACTCTGCTTGTCCGTCTCAGGATGGACGCACTAGTTTTGTCCACTCGAAAACAACACGCCGCCTTTGATGATGCCTCTCTGAGAATCGAGACGGCGGTGTAGCCCAAAAGTAGTGATGCGGCAACATGGGTGAGTATAGGGCAGATTAGCGTGGGTCCAGTTGCGCCTATGATGAGATGTCTGAAAGAAACAGTTGTGCTTTGCACAAGTGTGCCATGCGGCAAGAATATCTTGCTTGTTTGTTTTTTGTTTGTTTGTGTGGTGTGTGCGTGTCTTGCTCATTTTAGTTCTCACACACTCAGTATCTTGCTTCTGTATGCTCCTGATGCCCATCTGACACTTTTCATGTTGCAAGAGTGTCTTGCTTGTGTGGCTTTGTCATATGTGCCTTGCATGCATTTGTCATGGTGCTGCGTACCTTGCTTCGAGTGTGCCTCAATCATGTATGATGTATTGATCTTGCAACGTGCCGCAATCTTCTTGTTGTTTGTAGCCTGCTCATCATGCATTCCCTTTGCGCGGTGTTTGTGTGTGTTGCATATATTTTCGTTACCGCCAGTGCCATCGGGGCAATCTGGCGCCCGCCCGAAAGCCACGGAGGTTTTTCACACCCACCGAAGGTCCGCAGAGGGCAGTGTCCGAATCGACCCTCTCAATCTTCGTAAGGGATGCGATCCGACATGAGCCACAATCAAAACCCGGGTAGATGAAGGTTAGTGTGGGATAATCCCAACCATAAATAGCTGCGGCCGCCTTCTTAATTCTTTACATGGTTCTGGGTAGACCATATTAATACCGGGTTTTGATTTTGGCTCGAAGTGAATGCAGAACCGAGCGAATGCATAGCACAAGGGCAAGTTCGTTGCTTGCGAGCCAGTCGTGTGCCTTCTTGATGACTTCATTGCTGGCTACATGGCTGTGGGTCAAAACCAATGGGATCCCATTTTGGGGTAGGTGGACCACCCATTTTAGAACCTATTTTAGTGACTTAGTGGGGATTGGAATGGTGGGGGTATGATTTGGCTTTTGACCTATGGCCACATGGTGTACATTATGTGGCTTGCCTGACGCTTGCAGAAGTATTGTGCTCGCACGGGTCTTCTGCATGTGGCGTCTTTTCATTATCTTGCGAGCCGTACCTTGCTGTATTTGTGTTATTTGATGTTGACATGTGCATGGTTTGCGTGTGCATGTGTTGGTGGGGTGGGTGGGTGGGTTTCACCACAAGTCCTGTGCCCGTGACATGGCGCTCCTTCTATGCCCAGCTGCGGATGCTGACATGCGGACATCCGCTTGTCTGGGCAATGCAGAAAGCCTCCTGTGTCAACACGACAAGAGAAGTTCCACCGGCAGTGCGTGTCACTTTCTGCGTGCGACAAGGCAATGACGTCGGAGTCTGATGGACTCGTAGCAAGACAAGCTGCCGGTCAAGATCGATTCTGAGCGCACGCAGCATGCTGTACCAAATCTCCCCCAGGAGGTTGCACCGCGGCTTGAAGATCAGTATGCGACGTACATGGTGCAATGTGCAGTATTTGGAGCATGGTAGCGTATATGTAGCTATTTTCACTGCTACGGTCCCTACTCTAACACGCCACGTAGGATGATGGTGAGCGTACATACGCACATATCACATGGTACCATGCCACAAACGATGCCATGTCACCACATAACAAGATGTTCTTGACTTCCAGCCGTTTCATTTATGACTTGACCCATTTGGGAGCATACCATGGGCACCATGACAGGAGGGATGTCCAAAACGATTTTTCTGCAGATGCGCGGCCTCAGGAACATTTGCTCTGGCGAGAATCATGCCGAAGAGGGGGATGCTACCATTCTGCTGGGGCCCCGTCCAGCCGCGTTTCTCTAAGCCCCCCCAATAGTGCCCTTTTGAGTGGAGGGTTCCCCTACTAAAATAGACTACAGAAAAATCGGGTACCAACTTATTCTAACCTCTCTACTTGAGGACCTAGATGAGCAAGCCGTCTTGCTCCATGACTTGCATGACTTGAGTCATTCGACGTTGTCTGTAACCACGTAGCCTTCGGCCTTCGCAGCTGGGCGCAACGAGCTGACAAATGGTTGGTGCCAAGGGCGCGCTCCTCTTTCCAGGGAAGGTCTTGAAAAGCAAATGCTTGTGAGCCACTTGCTCAAAACCGATTCGGGTAGATGAAGGTTAAGGGGCAGTCCCAGCCAGAAATGATTGCGGCCGCCTTCTTAATTCTTTGCATGGTTCTGGGATTAGGACCATTTTACTACCGGGTTTTGAGCAAGTGACTCACGTGAGCCTCTTCTGGTTAGCCCAGGTCTGTGGAAAAGCAGCTCGGAGCAGACGATGCGGAGGCTCAGAAGTGGGAGCCTCCTGTAGTGCAGGCGGGAGGGGCTGCAAGTGGCGGAATCCACTTGGAATTTCCGGGCCAAAGAGAAACAGAAAATTACTCTTTGCATGGTTGTTGTTGGGACACATTTTGCAAATTGTTGCGCAAGTTGTGGTTGAGTGGTTGAAATCCAACCACTTAACTGCTAAAATTCGATTTTTTGCTCCCCAAACCCAACGTCAACCAAGTTTGAGGGCCGAGTTGCGACCCAAACAGCAAGGGGTGTTTGGAGCCTCTTGTGGACGGTTTTTTTGTAGCAACATGGCCCCCTGCAAAAGCGAGAGGTACGGTTGAAGCCCTAAACATTGCAAGTGCGGAGCAGAAAACCAAAGGACACGGTCCACTAAGGGAAGCACTGTGACATGATATCTGTGGGCCCCCCTTCCCCTGATACAATGTTGAACTTGCAATATATTGGGCCTCGGAAGACGGGTTACGCACTTGGCTTCAACATTGTAACTGGGGGAGAGGGGTCCGCACGCCGCGGGCGATGCCACAGAAATGGTGTCAACACGTGCCTTGGTGGCACTTGCAATATTTAGGGCTTCCACTGTAGCCTCACATCGCTGCACCTTTCCCTAGGGTCGACAAGCAACACTTGCATTTCAAATTGGGCTGGCTCATTATCTTGCTAATAGTTCAGCAGCCGCCCAGGATTCTTTTGTGCTTGAAGGGAAAGACTCCGTGGCCTGTCAGCATGAGCTCCGCTTCTCCTTTCTTTTTTTTTTTTTGGGGGGGGGGGGCGGGGCATTTTTTGGGTCCCCTTTGTTTTCCACCAACTAGGCAAAACAACATGCTTTCTGCTGAGGTTCTAATTTCCCGCCATTGACTCCAGGAGCCATCCGAGCAAGTGGCAGAAGATGTGGAGGAGATGGAAGAGTTGGCCCGGATTGCCCAGTCGGCTTTGACGGGTTTGGTCTGACCTCCAGAGTGCTTTTTTGGGGATCTCTAGTGGAAACTTTGAAAGGCAGCGCGCCGTTTTTCCACCGTGGGTCAGAATCAAAAACCAAACTAGACTGCAGGTTTTAGTCCATGCTTCCATTTACCAGGGATAAGACCTTTGGGGTTATCCGAATTTTGACCAGCCATTTGACCCCGGCGACGAGAAGGATTCGAGAAATCGCCGTGGAAATCGATGCGAGGGAATGAGATTCGACGCTTCCTCAGGTTCGGCCGGAGATGCTGGAGGCTCGAGCCCGCGGAGAGTGAAGCCGTGAGCGCTTCTTTTCCCGCGTCCTTTTTGTGGGATTCGGACCTCTCCCCGCCCCCCCCCCAAAAAAGGAGCAGGGTTTCCTTTTGATTTCCGTTTAAAGGTCACACAACCCCCCCCCCAAAAAAAAAAGAAGAAAGAAAAAAGAAGAAGCAGGTTTTCCCTTTGATTTCCGCTTAACAGCCACCAAACAACCGGGTACCGAGTCTCCAAAACAGAGGAGAAACTAACTTTTGAGTGGACCTTGGTTCATGGAGCCAACACCGCGAGGGAATCCTTTGCTCATTCGTCAAAACTAAGCCACCAGGAATTGGACCGCAGATTTTGGTCCATGTTTCCACTTACCAGAGTTCCATTTGGGGTACCGATTTTTGACCCACAGCCATTTTGAGGAACAAGGAACGGCTGTAGATGGGGGTTGATCAACATTGCCGGCCCCAAATGACCATGGGGAACTTTTCCCATTTAGTGGGAAGTATCATGCTTGTTGGTTTTGACTCTGATGTGACATCCCTGTGTGTGGCCTTACCTTCTGTGAAAAAGGCAACAACATCATTGCACAGGAATTGTCACTCAGAGATTCCAGAGGGTACTGGCTGATTTTACTTTCAATGATCAACCGACTATGTCTGAGGCAAGCGGACATGACCACGGCACCTGGGGAAAATTCCCGTGCCTATGAGATAACTTTTTGTTGTTGAGTCAGCCATTTAGGCTTGGGAAGTACCACCCTTTGGATTCTCACAAGGAATCCAACAAGCAATTTGCGTACCAAGCTTCGTCGCATTTCGTTTGATCGCAAGGAGTGGAGGAGGCACACGGTCAACGAGTTCCATCGCCTTATCACCGAGAGCAGGCGGTGCTGCGTGGGGGAAGGGCAGGAGAGATTTCTCACGACGCGACCAAGAAGCTCTCCGATGGGGCAACATGCGGGTTTCGAGACACATGCCTGATGGAGGAACTTGCTTGATGAAAGGTGAGGTGGCTGAAACTCGAACTACGTTGAATGGGGATCTATCAAACTGGCCGATCGAGGAGATTCATCCTTCATTTCTTGGTGGCTCCCAGCCATCCCCTTAGCCTTTTAGCTTTTTAGCGTTTAGTGGGGATTTCCATTTGACCACTAAAAGTTAAACTTTTAGCGGGGGATCTGAGGACAGCCCAGATGTGTGGTGAAGAGTTCTCATGCCGCTCAGGCGAATGCATGCCGAGAGCTTCGCTCATGGCGGGTCAGAATCTTGGGTGGCGAGAGAAAGGGCTTTGACCATAGGTGTCCTTTTTAGTTGTTGCCAAAAAGAATAGATGGCCCTGGTTTACCAGGTGGTTTTCTCATCTACCAAGGAAATCTATTTCCCCCAAGAGGACATGGGTCTGACAGGGAGCGAATGGAAAAAGGCTCGGGGATCGGGAGCCCTAACTTGAAGTGCTTGGAAGTTAAAAGGGCGCTTTGTTTGGAGCGGACTCTGAACTTTGTAAATTGTGTCTCTGACGCATCGTTCTGTTGAGCCGACCTTTCATTCAGCCCTAGACTCCTTTCTTTCTTTCTTTCTTTCTTTCTTTCTTTCTTTCTTTCTTTCTTTCTTTCTTTCTTTCTTTCTTTCTCTCTCTCTCTCTCTCTTTCTTTGTCTCTTGCTTTCTTTCTCTCTTTCTCTCTCTCTCTCTCTCTCTCTCTCTCTCTCTCTCTCTCTCTTTCTTTGTCTCTTTTTTTGTCGTCTCTCTCTCTCTCTCTCTTTTTCTCCGTTTCTGCTCTGACACTCACATTCGGCGCAGACTTGACGGGTAGTGGCCGCAATGCGCTGTAGGCCTGCCAATCGCTATGGCGAGATGGCATTATTGCCTCCCTTTGAAGAAGGCTGGGCACAGGATTGGACGACTACTCTAGGTTTCAAGTTGCCTACTCCAAGTTTCAAGTTGCCAGTGCCAAGGTTCTTGTGCGTTTTTCCAGAGGGTGCTTGGTCTTCACCAGTACTCAGGTTATAGAACAGCCCCATACTGCGCTGTTGGCAGATATCTAGGTTGCTTCCAGACTGAGGCCTCAGGGGCAGGCATTTGCACAAGGCATGGCCCTCCCTCAAAGGACCTGGGGGTCCTAGCCACCTGTCGCCAGCTTGCACCTTGAGCGGAATCATGCGCTTGTCGATGTGTGCCAAGCAGGCACCGTTGGTTGACACCAATGCAAAGGAACAGATTCTACTTTGGGATTCGGATTGGTCGGAAATGCCATGCCTGGATTGGGTTGACAATTTCACAGGACACTTAAGCCACTCTATCAAGATTCTAAGCCATCACGTAGACCTTGCTTGACACTTGCAGAGGCTGAGAGGGTCTTTGACATCACCCGAGCACTCGTCCATAGCTAGGAGAACATTTGCATTCCCTGATCGATTCCTGGCTTCGCATCGTCGACGAGAAAGCGAGCGGTTGGCCAGGTCGGCATGTGCCTACTCTTGCACTGATCAATCCCATGTCGGAGGCCTCAGCCGTGGGCTGGGTCCTGGTGCGTTGCGCTGTGCTTGGCGGTGTGAGCGCATCATTATTGGTGCTTGTTGCGTTGTATATCGGTATATGTGGATATGATTTCTGTCTCAACACATACATGCATACATCGAAGTATAGTCATGTACATGTCTATATCAATGCCAATATCTATAGCTTTATATCTAGATGTCGCTATGTCTATATATGTCGATACATCTCTATGTCTACAAATATCTATATCTATAACTCTATATCTCTATATCTCTATATCTCCATATCTCTATACCTATGTATCGATATATATATATATATTTATCCGCATGTAGTTATACTCATAATATATCTATATATCTATGCATCTATATCTATATATATCAATGTGTACATATATATATATATATGTACACACACACATATTTATCGACACATATATATATATATATATGTTTTTACATGGTGAGATGGCCATAAGACAACTATTCATCAATAACTGTGTGTTCCCCATGACAAGCTTAGGTCCGGCGCTGCTGCTGGCATGGACATACTCCAGGTGGCGCGACGTTCCCCATACTACAAGGAGCGGGCAGGGTTGACCGTTCGACAGCCTCAGGTGGTAGCCTGCTTGAGCAACGCGCACACAGATTTATGTGGCTGTGGGTCAAAACCGTTTTGGGATCCCATTTTGGTTGGTAGGTGAATTCACCACTCATTTTAGAACCTATTTTAGTCGTTGGATTGGTTGAATTCACTGGGGGCTAACCGATTTGGCTTTTGAACATGTCCATGTTGCAAACAGAGCACATTGAGGCATGCGGCCCGTGACCGGTTGACCGTTGACAGAGAGCTGTGTGGTTTGGATGAGAGCGAACGACCCAAGGCGCCGCAAGAGCAGAAGTCAAGAGCGCCGGATCTTACTATGCTGAACAGGGCTCCTTAAAAGATCTCCATTTTGCAACCATTTGAAACATGGCTTTCTCAACACCAAAATTCAGGGAAACCACCATTTGCAAGGCAATGTTCCGGTGTACAATGTAAGGATCCCTGCTGAAGGCTGCTTAAGGGACCTTTCGCGAGTGCTTTTCGTCCCGCTTTCTGACACGTCTCGTCAGGATAGGTTTTTCAACATCATCGATGTTGCCGGGTGCTCTGCGGATTGGGCCTGGGCGTTCGAAAAAAAAAAAAAATCACGCAGCCCACTGGCCGAAAAAATCACGCGGATCCAACATTTTCCTGGAATTTATAGGTGTTCTTTTTGGTTGGCTTGGTTGAAAAACATAGAGCCCTGGCTTACCTGGTGGTTCAATCATCTGCCAGGGAAATCCATCCATTTTCCAAAAAGGCCACCTATGCCTGGAATTGGCCATGGGCTAAGGTCAAAGGCCAACATCGAGGTGGACTTTTGGATGTCTTCAGGCAGGGTGCGCTTGAGCGATGCCGAAGCATCGCGCATCTGCTTTTTGTTTGTTTTGAGGGTACCCCTGTTAGGTGGATTTGAGGGGGTCCCCTAAAAACAGACAAACACCACAGGTAGTGTTTTTCCTTTTTTTTTGTTTTCGGGGTGGGGGCTAAACAAGACAAGCCACAAGTCTGTTCTTGTTTTGGTTTTTGGGGGGGACCTAAAAAAGCCAAGCACGTGCTGTTTTTTTCATATGCCGACGGCTGAGCCTCGCGCGAGGATCGAGCTCTGCAAGGCCAGAGAAGAAGCCCTCGATCAGGGCACCAGGCAATTTGGATGGGCAGAGAGTCAGTGGTGGGTGGGGTGGGGTGGGGTGGGGTGGGGTGGGGTGGGGTGGGGTGGGGTGGGGTGGGGTGGGGTGGGGTGGGGTGGGGTGGGGTGGGGTGGGGTGGGGTGGGGTGGGGTGGGGTGGGGTGGGGTGGGGTGGGGTGGGGTGGGGTGGGGTGGGGTGGGGTGGAGTGAGTTCGGATAGTGCAAGGATTCGGAGAGTACCAACAAAGAGGATGAACCAGAACGATCAGATGAATTGGAGCTTGAATCTGATGCTCACAACCACAACCACGACAACGCCGACGACAGCGGAAACGACGAATCGTTTTCGCCGCCGCGATGTGTCCACTCGTCAGGCCGCGGCTGATCTCAGGAGGAGGTGACGGAACAGGGCCCGGACCCCAGGTAGCAGAAATTGTGGTGCCGGGTTTACTTCTGCCCCACTTTTTTCAGGGTATTTTTGGAAAACCTGGGTCTCCATGGTAAATACCTCCTTTTTTAGTAGAGGGTCGACATCATACCCTGAAAAAAACGATATTTGGAGTGGGGGGTGGTCAAACAAGCAGCCATGCTTGGAACATTGCATGGCTGCGTTTGCTGTCTGCTGTGTGGTCCAACTCCTGAACGGGTGGGGCTCAAAATTAAAGAGCTAGGACAAACCGCAGGTGTTGGTCTTTGGTTCTATTTTTACCGAGGTGTTTCATTTTTTGAGCCGCAGCCAAGTGCCCAGTTCACTTTGCAACGGTGAAGCACTGTGCCGGCGAGGTCCTTTGCGATTTTCATGGTCTTCCTCGCCTTGAAGGTGCGACGCACGATGCCTACGCGAAGCACCGTCCGTGGGAAAAGAGTCGGTCGGATTTGAGCAGATGCTGCGGCCTCCTTTGCCGGACTTCTTTGGGCTTGCAAGTTTGGATTTGAGTCGGGCCTGAGACGTACTCACATGGGTTTGCATGGTAAATACCTCCTTTTTAGTAGAGGGTTGACATCATACCCTGAAAAAGGCGGGGTATTTGGAGTGGGGGGTATGCGATGGACGACACTGGTTGGCATGCGAAACGCTTCGCAGGCAGATCCGGCAAGACCGCACGAGGGCTTGGGGGACTGAAGCCGCTTGGTCGCTGCGATGGATTCGGTAGGTCGGTGAGTAAGCCTGGCACACATAGAACTTGGTGGCTCCCGAAGGCCATCCGGTTCCTTCGCTTTTTAGATCCTTTTAGTGTTTAGATTCGGTAGTTTCCGTATTTAACCCACTAAAAGTTAGTCATTCTTAGCGGGGGATCTGCGGGCATCCCAGAGAACGGAGACTTATCACCGTGGCTTCTGTGGGTTATAATTCCATGGCAGCCGCCATTTGTGGGTTACAATCAGCCGCCATGTGTGGGTAACCATGGCAGGTGGGTATAGGTCTTCTCTCTTTGTTTCACCCTGCCTGGTTCTTCTGACCGCTGCACTGACCTTTCGGCTGCCCCCCTGAAGCGGAGCTTTTTCGGAAACCGTGGAGACTGGGGGCTCGGGTTTGCAGCTGAAGGGGTGCAAAAGGCGGGCGGGGGAGGAATTGGCGTGGGATTTTTTTCGCAGGACACGGGCAACGGCTTCATTTGGACGGACGAGGAGTTGGCAGAGCGACACGCTCAGAGTGTCGCTGAGATCTGCTGAGAGGGTGGCCAACGGGGCAAAACCAAGGAGCGCCAGTTGTTTGCCCGTCTTACAATGCCGACCTTGATACATTCCCCATTGGTTTTTGCTGGGTCATGGAGGTACACTTTTCGTTTCAGCTTCTTTGCATCAGCTGGGCGTGTCTTTTTTCTTTTTAGAAAAACAATTCGGACCCCCCCCCAAGATGGCGAACCGTTGTTCCCCTTTGGTTTCTCTTTGACCCCAAAAAGCGGGCACCCTCCCATCCACCACGATCCACAAACGAGCACAGCTGGATTCAGCCGCCTTGATATTTCCTTAGGTTCTGGGCAGACCATTCGAATACCCATCGGTTTTGACTCCAACTTCCATGTTGGACCAGGAACTAACTTGAACACTTCCTGGTCTCATGACCCCTTCAAAAAACCATCCCCTATGGTTTCCTTGATTCGGGAATCCCCAATAGCCGTTCAACCAGCACCCGGAAACTCGGTTGTCATTCCCTACCCTCTACTCCAAATACCCTCTGTTTTTTAAGGTATGATGTCGAGCCTCTACTAAAAAAGAGGTATTTACCATGGAAAGCCAGGTTTTTTCAAAACATACCCTAGGATTTTTTGAAAAACCTAGGTTTCCATGGTAGATACCTCCTTTTTTAGTCGAGGGTCGACAAATCGTAAAAGACGTGGGTATTTGGAGTCAGGGGCACCTCTTGCCCCAGCTGCTGGGTTTGTCCGAGGAGCTTCCCAGCGATCGCCCAGATGCCTCTGGGCTCCGCCAACGACTTCGGGAACATCCTCGGCTGGGGCCAGTCGCGGGCCGCAGACAACAACGGCGAGAGACGGGAAACCGCCTGGAGAAAGATACTGTGGGTGGACAAAATCCATTTCGCACCACCTAAGAAGGCCTGGAATGCTGATTGCCCTGTGCATACCAACAAACAATGGTTTCAACCATGGTTTCAACGTGGTGCAGGATTTTGTCCATCAAAAGTAGGGGTGCTCCCGTGCTCCCCTTTGCTGGATGAAAATATGTGAATTGTCCGCTTTTTTGAATTGTCCGCTTTTTTGCTAAATGGGATACGTGAATCCCCCCTTTTTTGCTGGATGGGATATGCAAATTCTCATTGTTTTGCTGGATGGGATATGCCGATTCCCTTCTTTTGCTGGATGGGACAGTGAATTCCATTGTTTTGCTGGATGGGATAGTCAATTCTATATTTGGATCACACTTGTGACTCATGTGACTTTTGTGCTTGTGTCCAAATTTAGTCCTCACAGCCGGCTGCGAGCCAACACCTACCCCCCTACTCCAAATATCCACTTGTTCTAGGGCATTTTTTGAAAAACCTGGTTTTCCGGGGTGAATACTACCTTTTTTAGTAGAGGGTCGACAAATCATACCCTAAAAAAAGGTGGGTGGAGTAGGGGGTAGATGGCAAGACGGCTGGAGCATAGTTCAGTCTTCGACATCGCCCGAGTTCCTTTGGGGCATCCAGGGTTCTGCCTGCCCTAGACCTAGAAGCCCAGGTCAGCTAGGCGCCCGACCTCTCGCCCCTTTTTTGGTTGGGAGATTCGGTTCCCCTACTGAACTAGACGGAAAAAAGTTGCCACCCTTATGCTGACCTCTCTACTGGAGGCCCTAGAAGCAGAACGCAAATCAAGGCGTCTCTCGCCTTGGCGAAGTTTCCTTCAGCGTTCAGAAGGGCTGTCTGGCGGGTCTTGCGAGCCGAACCCTGCAGATTGGAATGACATACTGTGGATGGACGAAGTTGTGCACCATTCTGAAGCCACGGAGAAAAAAGACTGTTTGCTGGTATTTAGAGGGGGAAATCCGGCTCATTCCAAGGTTTCCGAACGGTGGTGCGATTTTCATAGTTGTGTTTGTTCTTCCCTCACTTCCTGAGTTCTTGGACTTTGGTCACTTTTTGGGTTTGGACCAATTCAGTGGCAAACAAACAGTTTGGTGATTTGTCCTGGCCAATCCTCTCGATCGGAAGTGAGAAGGACCCGAAGGAACTACCCATCAAGGAGGTGAGTGAGTCCCTGTTCACCAATGGACCGAAATTCAGGAACCCATCTTAAGGGGAGTAACTCTCAGCAAGCAGTAGCCAGGAGTAGCCAGTCACACCTCAAAACTTTACCAACCAGTAGCCGGGAGTAGCCAGTCACACCTCAAAAACCTTTTAGGTGGTGTTTTGGCCGGGGGGTTGCCAGTCACACCTCAAAAACCTTTTAGGTGGTGTTTTGGCCGGGAGGTTGCCAGTCACACCTCAAAAACCTGGTTGAATCAGTCACGTCGAACAGGTTGCCAGTCACTCCTCCCACTTTTCGACGGCGTTTCGACTGCCCGGGCGTCGAAGACCAGAGCGGCTCCGAGAAGCGTCGCTCTCAGGAAATACCCCGGGGACGTGATGTGCGGCTGCCTGCCGGGCGGTGGCCGCGAGGCGAATTTCTCCCGGAGCTTTTTTGAGACTCCGCCCGGGGGGTCGCGTTTCTTTTTTTTGTGGCTTTGTTTTTTGTTTGTTTCTGGTCCTCCCTGGTATTTTTTTGCAGGCTCTTGGTTTCCTTTCCTGGTTTTGTGCTTCTCTGGCTTTTCTCCTTTTCTATGTTGTTTTCTTTGCGTGTTTTAAGCAACGGAAGCAAAAGAGCAAGCAAAGCTCAGTCCATCTTCAAGTTTCTGGGTGTTGTGGCTCCAGCTCCAATTCCCAGTTGCCTGGTGCCGACCTCAGGCAGCCCTTGGCCAGCTGAAGCGGTGGGTCTGGCTGACATGCTTACCTGCGGATGGTACCCCCTACTCCAAATACCCACTTTTTCTAGGGTATTTTTTGGGAAACCCAGTCTTTCAAGGTAAATACCTCCCTTTTTAGTAGAGGGTCGACATGATACCCCCCCAAAAAAAGTGGGTATTTGGAGTCGGGGGTACCTGAATTCATTCAGTGCAACGTCCAATGACCCATGCTCCACGACTCTTTTGTGAAGTGGCTGTGGCATCCCATTTTGGGGTAGGTGCACCACCCAGTTTAGTCTAGAGTGGGGATTGGTTGATGTTCACTGGGGGGTAACCGATTTGGCTTTTGACCCATGGCCAAGTCGCTTCAGAGACGGGAAGACGAGCACTCCAGCTTTGCCACATGGCAGCGCTGGGATCGGATAGTTGGGGCGGCTGGCAGCCGCAAACAGGGAGAGCTGCTGGAGCTGACCCTTGCGTCTAACAGGTTGGACATGGCTGTGGCTCAGAATTCGAGAGATTTTCCGGGATATGGACCACAGGTTTTAGTCCACTCTTTCCATGTCTCAGGGCCAGCCGGCCATTTTCGGGAAGTCCCGTTCCGATTTTTGGTCGCCACAAAACGACCGCTTGGCGTTTGCTCGTCTGCGTTTGGCCTTTCGCTTCAGGTCAATGCAGTCATCGAGCCAAGCTCGCGGGTGGTGAACTTTGATGTTTGGGGGTGGGCGACTCAGCGACTCAGCGACCCGGGTTCGGCTTTTCGATTTCGAGGAACGCGTTCGGGACTGGCTTTTCGGTTGAATCAGAGCCACGCTCCAAATAGCCCTTACACCCGATACCCTCATATCTTTTCTGAAGAAGCGGAGGTAGTTACCTTCAAGAACCCGGGCTTTCGAAAAATCGCCTCAACAAATGAGGGTAGGAGTCGGGGGTACTTACGGTCCGCCCCCGCCCATTTTCCCGCGCGCGCGGCTCACGGGCCTCCGGGGAGCTGAGGTTCATGCCGCCCGCGGGCCAGGAGCAGTGTAGCTTCAAGCCCCGAAGCGGCAAGAGGTGAGCGGTCAAACACCGATTCTTTGGTAGATGGCTCCGGTGAGTAAGGGACCATTTTCCTTGCCAGAAATAGCGAAGCGGATGTCCGCCTTCTTAATTCTTGAAGCATGGTTCTGGGATTACGACCATTTTAATACCGGGTTTTTAGTTTGACTCAGGTGTTCCACGCAGCTGGGTGTCCCTCTCTTTTCAAATTTTCAGCCCCCAAAATTGGCGAGGCGGTGTGCTTTTTGGTTTCCCTTTTTTCAGCCCAACCAACCAGAAGCGCCCTCCGAAAGGGTGCTTGACAAGCAAGATGCGAGACGGAGTGAGCTATCAGACGACAGTTTTTTGACAGACCTCCCAGGATTCGAGCAAGAAGCATTTGTTCGTCGTGCCCGCTCGGAGTTGGTTCTCTTGTTGAAGGAGATTGTGGTTGATCATGATGCGTTAAACCGTTCTGATATGTTTGTTGACTGCTTTGGCAACATGTCAAACGGGCCAGCCCTGGATGAAAGTCGGACCCGGCTGATAAGGACCTCATATTAGCTGAATGCATGGCTTCCCCAAGTTATCAGCCCCATTGGGGATATGAGGTGGGACCAAGGTTGTGGGATCACTCGGGGTTTATCCAGCCACTGTGATACTTTTGGGAATCCCCTCTGGGGGGTTAGTCTTTGGGGGACCTTTTTCTGGTACAGAAGACATTCCGTTTCCCACAGTGGATCCGACTGTCTCGGTGCGAGCGGGCGACTCCGAGGCTTGCGGAACTGACTGGCAAGCGGGGCCGCAACCCCAACACCAAGATCAACGGCGAGCGAAACGTCACGCTGAAGCAGGCGAGGTCTCAATAGCCACACTTCCCCCAACTCCATTTGCATCTTCCTCTTCTTCCTCTCTCTCTCTCTCTATGCCGAACTATATATGAGCAGAATGGGCCAGTGCAAGACTGATGCAGGGACCGGCAACATCAGATTTGATTTGCAAGATCCTTCGTGGGTGCTCGCCTGCTAGGCTGGAAAGCCCGTCCCCTTTTTCGTGCGGCCCTGAGGCCGACACGTCAAGCATTGGGGGTTCATATCTTTTGCAATCTGCGCCTCGTCCTTTGGCAGCGTGGATGATTTAGTTTTGAGATGCAACTCAAGACGGAAGATACCAAAGACAATTCTCCCCTCCAAAAAAGGAAAAAACACAAAACAATGAGTAAATAAAACAAACAATCCTCCCCCCCTCCCCCGAGAAAAAGAAAAAAACTGGGGAGGGGGTCTGTCCCCCCTTGTCCGCAGCATTCGCTGCGTGCATGCCTGAGGTTTGCCTGTACTTCTCCGCTGGCCTTGGGGTGCGCGGGCATCGTGGGTAGTGGCATCCATTTTCGTCTTGGCTCATCGGTCAAACAGTGGCAGGCGGTTGCCCTTCCTTGGCACCTCTTCTGGCAGCCTCTTTTGGGGGATCTCTTCAAACCAAACGGTGCAGCAACTGGCAATCCACAATCCACAGCAGCATGCACCTTTTTGAAACTCAGCAAGTGGAAGTTTGCCCAACTTCCAAAGTTGAAAGAACAAAGCTTTCTGGAAACGACACGGAATTTCCCTGGCGGCGGCGTTTGTTTCTTTTTGTGCGGATGCCAGGCTTATATGACTTCGCGTTTCCAGATCAACCGCCGCAAGACGCCGCTTAGAAACCGGGCAGAGCTGCTCGGGCTGCATGCAGAACAATTTTCGCTCTTCATGTGTGGTAATCAACTTCCATTTTGTCATCTTTACTATTATGATTATTATTATTGTTATTGTTATTATTATTATTATTATTATTATTATTATTACTATTATTACGGCCAATACATGTGTATTGCCCCAACGGCCCCCCGACGGCCCGCCTGAATGTGTCGGAAAACATGCGCAGGGCCAGTGTTTTGAGAGGTTGAAGCTCACAGGTCCGGACCAAGTGTGTGGGGCCGAAGTCTGGGGTTGGGCCCCGAAATGCGCACCCTCTGCGGGAATCGTGTGTGCGGGATTTCCTTTTTTCCCCCCGTACACGCAAGCTAGTCTTTGTTTGCAGCCAGCCATGCACACTTTTCTGGCTGGAAAAACATGGAACCCCAAAATCCTAAAACCCTAAACCTAAACCCTAAAATCCAATAAACCTAAACCCAAAACCTTAAACCTAAACCCTAAACCCTAAAATCCTAAAACCCTAAAGTCCTAAAACCCTAAACCCTAAACCCTAAAATCCTAAAACCCTAAAGTCCTAAAACCCTAAACCTAAACCCTAAACCCTAAACCCTAAAATCCTAAAACCCTAAACCTAAACCTAAACCCTAAACTTAAACCCTAAACTTAAACCCTAAAATCCTAAACCTAAACCCTAAAATCCTAAAACCCTAAACCTAAACCCTCAACCCTAAAATCCAATAAACCTAAACCTAAACCCTAAAATCCAATAACCCGAAACCCTAAAACTAAACCCTAAAACCTAAACCCTAAAATCCTAAAACCCTAAAGTCCTAAAACCCTAAACCCTAAACCCTAAAGTCCTAAAACCCTAAAGTCCTAAAACCCTAAACCCTAAACCCTAAACCCTTAAATCCTAAACCTAAACCCTAAAACCCTAAACCTCAACCAAAGTACAGCCAGCCAGCCACGGTGCTGCGCAACTCAAGGGACAACTGCGCCCATTGCATGCCTATCTAATGGGCGGCTCCCAGCCTGAGCCGAGCCAAGGTCCTGGTCAAGGTCCTGTGGGGCGGAACGCATGTATTGGGGGTATTACTAGAAGTAGTAGTAGTAGTAGTAGTAGTAGTAGTAGCAGCGGTGGTGGTGGTAGTAGTGGTAGTAGTGGTAGTATTGCTGTTACGATTGTCATCATTATTAGTATTTTCCCTTGTTGGTTTTGAAGGGAATCGATTTCACTACTGGCCACATTTCTCATTTCTTAGGGGACGAGAAAGCAAATGGAGCTTTAAGTTCGCAAAAACATCAAGGAATTATCACCAGCATTTGTCTTTGCAACCCACCCTCGGTCAATTCCCTCTCAGGCGGCCCTGACCCTGGGGTGGCCGAAACAGGGCAGAAGTGCAGACTTGAAGTAGTCTTATGACAGCTTTGATCAAGGCCCAACGCAACCAAGCAGCTCCAAAATGAAGCATGCTGCTGCTCATCGGAGCCCAAATGAATTACATGTTTCATGCCATGCTCTCAAGCCTTGTCGAGGCTTGTGATGTTGCTCTGGCTGTGAAGCTGAATCAATGCCTCTATAGGAATGCCGCGACGCAGCCATTCTTTTCCTGTATCGTCGAATCGTGCGTTCAACACGAGCTAACCAGAGGGGGCGGGGTGTTAAAATCTACAGCCAAGCTGGTCTATTGAAGACCGGTGGTCCAATTGGTTACGTGTTGCCGAGCTGTTTGGCCGGCTGCCTCTGGTCGGAGTCAATATGTCATAGGTGATGCTTCGATATTGATTGGACATTTTGGCGAAGGTTTGACCTGGGGTAGGCCATTTGGGAGTTGAGGAAGAGTTCGCGGCTGATCCGCTCTGCTTCAACGACACGCTTTAGGCAAACGGCAAGACTCAGAATTTGTCATCGACACATCGTTGGCGAATTGTTCTTGGAATCTGTTCCCTTTGGGCAACTCCATTGGAATGATAGGTCCCTAGTGGTCAACCGTCCCAATGACCACCGGAAAAGCCCTTGAGCTGCTGTTCGTCTTGTTCGCACTGCCGGCGCGGGGTTGGGCGACCGAGGTACGTCCGACAGCTTGGAGGCATTGTGATGGAGTCCAACCCACCGCAGTGGGCCTGGCATTGTTTGGCAGCTCGCGCGTAGTTACATGGTGCGTTGGATTTCAGCGATGAGTGAAAGGGGTTGGTGTGAATTTGCGCAATCCATGAAGCCTCTGTTGTGGCTGGGGTCAACCGTTGAAGCCGGCAGCACATTTGCTCCACATTTGCCTCTGACAGCCAACGCAGTTGAACACTTCCCACAAGTTTCTGCAACAGTCGAAAGGGCCGAAAAAAACCACAGCCTTTTCAGATCCTGCGAGAAACAAACAACAACGCACATGTGCATATGTGTCCTGTTTCGGTTAGTTTGGTACGTGGATGGGTTCCACTGGTTTAGACAGGGGTTAAACTCCATGCACCAGGGAAACCCATCTAGTTTTCCAAAGGCCACCTACGCTCAGGCTGAGTTTTTTTTGGGCCGAGTTTGTTTTCCTTTTTTTAAACAACTAAAATAAGATAAAGTATAATAACACATAGAAATAACTAAAAATAACTAAACAAATCAATAAATGAATAAATCGCAGGCTGGCCGGGCGGCTGAATGGCGTCACCATTGACTGCGAGGGCGAGCCGTGCCCCGGGTCTGTTTTCGCCATGCCAGGAGCCGTCCGACGGTCCGCTGGCGCCGAGAAATTTTCCGGCTGGCGGTTTCCTTTAAGGGACTCCCCTTCAGTAAAAGTTTTTGCCCCAAGAATCTGGAGGCGGCATTGTTCAGCGCGCAGGCTTTCAAACCAAGACTTTCCTGGTAGAGATACATTGGCAGCGCTTCACGCCAGAATCAGGCAAATCCGCATGAGCAGCAGCCTGCCCAGAGCCATGCTTGCTACATAGAGTCATTAGCAACAGAAGAGGCAGTCAGTTCTTTGCAAGAGCAGAGTTGCGGAAACGGGCCGGACAATTCGCCTATAAGGGAGGCTCCGGCGTGCGTGAATGGATAGATTGAACCCTGCAATCAGGCAACAGGCAAGTGTGTTTGCAACGGAGCCGACGCTGTGAAGTCAGGAATTTTAGCACTTTGCACAAATGTCCTGCTTCGTCATCCCACTGACAGGTATTTCCCACCTCGCCGGCAGCTTTCCAACCAGGGCAGGACAGATGGAAGCTAGCTTTCCACCAGTAAGATGTAGGTAGCTTCTCCCGTAGTCGTGCCAATCACTCAAGACATGTTTGGGGAACATATCTGGTGTCGGCCTTGGTCGCAGAGGAGGAGGTTGTTAGGGAGATGATTCCTTTGGCGCGCTTCTCATTTTTGGAAACTCTTCAGTGCTGGATTTTCTCCATTGGTGATGTGAACCCACGCAGGAAGTACCGGGAGGTGGGGTTCTACAACATCAACTGGCAGGTGCGCCGCCCCATGAGAAAGACCTCTGCTTCTTATCGGCGCATTCCGCACATGGCCAATGCTTGCACCCGCGCCTCATGATGAGTTGTGCAGGCCCATCCTCGCAGCCTTCGTCACTTACTTCAGATGTGTTTGCTTCACACTTCACGGATCAGCCAGAAAGAAACAGAGCGAAACTCATGGTCTTCAGGAAAAAACCAGAGAAGTACCCAATTTTCTGTTAGGAAAACCAGAGAAGAGCCCAACTTTCCGTTCTGTCGCCACCATCCCACCGCATTTTGAGTCAGAAAAGCCCGCTCATCGGGCCAGGCGCACGGGCTCCACGGGGCGGATCGCGCCTCGTTGGGCAGCCGCCTCTGCTGCGGCACCCGGGAGCCGGTGCGGTTCAATGCCCTGCCGCCTCGGTTTGGAGGGAGCGTGGTGGGGTGGTTCACTGAGCTGTTTTCGCTTTTCGGATGGCGTTTGGATTCGGTTTCCGAATTTAAGCCGCTGATTCAGTGAGTCCTTTTTGGTTGGGGATCTGAGGGCCCAGAGAGACGGATGTGGGGGTGGCTTCAGGATTTGCTGATAGACATGGCCATGGGTCATAAACTATGCCGATCCCATGTTGGGGTGGATGAACACCCATGTGCCACCTATTTTGATGTCCACCAGGGTACAGGGTTTTGACCCACGGCCACATGGCACCAGCTTGGAAAGCCATCCACTCAGGTGTGTGAGTGTGTGTGTGTGTGTATGTGTCTTTCGTGGCATGTATCAGGTGTATTTGCTGCATGCAAACATCAGTGTGGGCAGATGCAAACATCAGTGTGGGCAGATGGAAGTGCAACGACTCGTTGCTGCCATTCTGGAAAGTCGTGCCCGGGTTCCGAAATGTGTCAGGATGGGTAGATGTCTTCAAAGCTCTTGCAAGAACAGTCAGGATTCCGACTTTGCAAGATACTCGCAATGTTAACCCTGGATTAATAAACCCCTGGTTGATTAATAGGGGGGTGTCTCCTTCTAGTGGGGATTCATCACTTTTGGAGGGACCCCCCCCTAATGGGACGGGTTTAATACTCCTGGGTCAACATTAGCCTGGCCAGGACGGCAAGATTGACATGTTCCGCTGGAAGTTTGCATCCTTCTTCAAGAACCCAGGTGTCCTTGCCCCAGTCTTTTGGCTAAGCTCAGCATGCTTTGAGTGGAAGAAATGGCTGTGGCTCAAAAAACCGGTATCCAAAATGGAACCCTGGTAAGTGGAAACATGGATCAACACCTGCATAACTCCTCCTGTTTAATTTTGCGCCACGCCCAAATGACCAGGGACAGTCTCAAGCGTGGGCTCGCAATGAGCACAAGAAGTCCTATGCATGGGACTGCTACTCGGGGCTCGAGCAGTATCAGAGATCTGTTTGTGCGTTTGCGACGAGTCATGAGTCTGACGAGCATTTCACCAAGGTCACGATGCAAACCGACAAGAAAGAGGACGCGCCCATTCAGATCCAGAAACCGTTCTCCAACGAACCAGCAATTTGTGAGGGATCATGATACCCAACGACAGAGCGGATTGGATAGCAAGATCGAAGGGCGTGCTTGCATGGCCAGAGACATATCTGCATCTGTATGTCAAACCCTGGGTTGAACCATATGCTCATTCAATCGAAGAGAAGACGATCCCGGCTTTCCGTGCCAGGACATGCTCCTCAATTTCAGCGCAAGTCCAGGCAAGGGCGTGTTCTTCCAGTGGGATGGCGAGCGAGGGCCCCAGATGCTCAGGAGCAAGCGGCGAGTTCGAAAGGTGCCACCAGCTGGAATGCCTTCTTCAACCTGCTACGGAGGGGTCTTCAAAGGGAGTAGCTGGGTTCCGGAAAGACGAGTTTTGAGCAAGTTTGGCCTTTGCAACTGCATTCCCAAAGCACGGCATGAGCCCATGTGACAGATTTCGGCTTGACGGCCGCCACGTTCCTGGCAATCCATTGCCACCAGGTCGCGCTTTGCCTTCAACCCGAATGGTGAGGACTTCCAAATCTACATTCGCAAGGCGAGCGGTCAAAACTCTTTATTACCCGATTGATGAATCTGAGGGTTTTTGTATTACACCCTGGGACTACACCCTTGGGAAATGACACACAATGGTTCAAAGTAGCACGGTTTTATCCAGAAATGTGCCTAAATGGGTCAATACCTAGTGGGTGTATTCCCAGGGTGTTATACAAAACCCTTAGAATGAAGAGTCATGATATCTCTCTCCGGCATCGATGCTTATGTCCATATCAGGAGTCTGCTCCTTGTGAGGATATCAGGCTACTTACAAGATCTTACAAGATCGCCTGCTCATAACCAAAGATCAGTTGCACACATGCTGTCCCCACTCCGGTCGTGTGAATGTGTCAGCCGTTTCTCTTGCATCATTTTGTGTGCGCGCATGCCTGATTTGATCGAGGTCCAATGCTGACCAGATTACAAGTTTCAATAGAGAACCACCTCCGAAGAGGTTGGTGGGCATGAATCCCACCGGCTCCCTTATCACAAGTCCACGCCCATATTAGCCGCGGTCAAAGGACACCTCTACTTGGGGTTACATGGATGGTCATCCACCTGGTAGCAAGGATCCTGAATGACCATCATACTGGCTCCACCGTGACCATAGGCTGTATGTTGGGAGTTTTGACTATGGCACCCATGGAACGGACTTTTCTTCGTTTCTTTTAAGGTTGGACCCCCCCTTCTGTTTTTTTTGCTTTTCTCTGCTCGGAGGTGGCCAACGTTCCGGTGGTCATTGGGCCGTGGGTCAACCAGCGCTTGGCGCTAAGTGTTAGAAGTTGACAGCACTCGTCGAGTTTTTTTCGTTTTTTCTTCTCCCCGGTGAAGGTGTTCTTTTGTTTGTGAAGGGTAGACTCTTTGCGTTGAGTAGAACTTTCCCCCTCTCCCCCCCCACCCCGCCCCCTGCCCAAACCCCCAAATCCCCCACCCCTCCCCCCCCACCCCGCCCCCCCCCCCCCCCCAAACACACCAGTCTTTTGGGGAGGGGGTGTTTGGGGTGTCCTCTTCAGGGGAGTGTTGAGATCCCACAGACGGTGGGCTCACGGCACTCGATGTCTGCTTGCATCTTTCGCGCGTGAGACCCAAAGAAAACCCATCACAATGGGCATTTGGATCTCTTTTTGCTCGGGGAAAACGGAAAATTGAACGCGTTTGAATTCAGGTGGGTATGGGTGAAAATTAAACCACCATGGGACCGCAGGTTTTAGTCCTTGGTTCCATTCACCAGGATTCCATTTTGGGTGCCGATTTTGACCCACAGCTGGGTAGTTGGATGAGTCAAGTGAACGCGCATCCAGCAAGTTCAGAGCTGGCAAATGGCTATGGTGCACACCTTGCCTTGAGGGCTGACTGGTCCGCTGGACAATGGCGAGCCCGTCCCAGCCCCAGGCTTCTGGAATCGCAGTCAATAGTCTGAACCAGACAGGTCAGGGCTCAGGCAATTGAAGGTCAATGGTTCACAGACAGGCTCAAATTTCCAGCAATCCACCCGCTACGGCTTGCAGTGCCAAACCAGCCAATGCTCCGTTGCAGGTAGCATTCTTTTTGGGGCTGTGTTCATAGCCGAGCCGGCAAAGAGTGCAAGCAAGGTCGCTTTTGCATTCTGCGGCAAAGACCCAGAAAGCGTCGACGCGGTAAAGAGGCCGGGGTGCAGTTTCCTTTTGCGCACGAATGGCAAATCATAGATAGCGTGTATAACTGGCTGCTTGCTGTTTGGGAGAGCTATGTGTCCCATGTTTCTAGGGGTACCTTTCCCTTCTTTCCAGAAAGCCTCACCAAACAACGGCCGGTTTTGGACAACGAGGGGTGAAAAGAAGGGTTGGACTCCAACCCGAATTTTCGGTTCCTCACTTGCCAAGGGCCAAAACGGCGGAGAGTCCGTGGCGAGAGCGCAACGCCTCGCGAGGCGCATTTGGCAGGCCGTGTCTGGGGCTCTCGACGCGGAGCTCAATGCCACTGCGCAGGAGAGTTTTCTCTTTGGGCTTCCCTGGGTTTCCTGGGCTTTCTTTGATGTTCACCAGGGCTTTCCTGGGTTTTGACCAGCCATATATCGCCAGATGAGCCATTTGCCACCTTTGATGTTCAGGGGTACAACATAGCCTTTGGCGCGCATTTTGCCCAGGGCTGTTAGGGCTTGAGAACTTCTTGCCGACGAATGGATGTTTTCCGAACTAAACCACTAAAAGTGAGTCACTTTTAGCAGGGGGGCAGATTTCGCAACCGAGTCTTGTGAGGGTTGATCCACTGGGCATGGCTCGAAATTAGAGAGCTGGCGGTTACGCAGGTTTTGGTCCATGTTTCCATTTGCCAAGGGTGCCATTTTTGGTACCGGTTTTTCGAGCCACCCCGGGGTAGTCAAAAAGTAGAACCCTGCGCACTGTTGCGTCTTTCCAGCTCTGAGCATGTGCCTCGGCTCTGCATCCCATCTCAAAGACTCTTCGTGTCTTTAGTGGTTGAAATCCAACCACTTGACTGCTAAAACTTAAATTTTGCTCCCCTTCCAACGTCAACCAAGCAACTCCCGCAGGAGATCTCGGGCACAGGCTTGCGCGTGTCACAGAACAGCAAATAGGCGCGCGCCGGGCGCCGGGCCGGGCTTGCGCCCATGCAGAGAACTGCTTCCTTTCGACTTTCAAGCCCGAAAAGAGGAAACCCCTCAATCTCTGTGCGCCTTCGCGCAGCTTGACCCGATGCAAGGGAAGAGCCGGTAGCGGCTCCATTGAGTCTGCATGAAGCATGAGCGGAACGGCCGTCAGTGTGTTGCCTTGACCCGATTCTTGAACATCCTACTGTTTTTCCAGACCGATGTTTTGGCAGGTTCGGCATGGTCTGTACGGTCAGGCCCCTTAGAGCAACCGTTGGTCTGAAAGACCAGCAGCGGGTTCCAAGGGGCGGTTTTCTCACGCGAATTGACAGAAATTGAGACTGCCTAGAGTTTTACTGGCCTGGCCTGTGGCAAGGCTCTCGTCGGGAGTGTTGCTGTCAGGAAAGGTTATTTTCGGGTGCGCCTTTTTTAAGGAGCCGGGCCCCCAAAACGACTTCGGGTTTCCCCCCGTGGTGTCCCTTCAAAGCCACCATCAAGGGGGCAGCCCGTCTAAGAAAAGGCGAGTCGCCCGGACCTTGCAGAACTGCAAGGCTTGCAAACCGGAGCGGCCCCATGGTTCGTTTCTGGAGCGATGCTTTGGAGCTTACCACCGGTGCAACGTAGCCACAGAATCTGTGAGCACTTGCATGTTTGATCGTCTCACAAGCACAACACCTGGGGAATGGAATGAAGAGTTCAATTCAACATTCCATTCCTACGATGGATATGTGTTCCAAATGGCACATACCTAAATTTGACGACATCATCGACAATTAATATAAAAAAAGTACAATCATTTAGTTACATGATTGAAGACAATACCATGGACTTTACATCTGCAGTTGTTTTTCTTATTTTTTCATATATATATATAGATATTAGATGTAAACTTTAATTATTATGATATAATCGGAGCGCTCGTGTTCGCGGCTTCGGATTGAATCATGAAGCTTCTGTTTTATTGAAGACACAAAAGGAAGCCTGCAATGTTTTGTGTCGAGTGACACGGTTGTGTGGATGAGGGATGGTGGATTAAACCTCCCATCTCCTTTTCATCAGGAATTTTTGTCTCTAGTTTGGCCCTCTTTAATTCGCTATGGTCCTCAGCCACTGGCTCAAAACCGATTCGGGTAGATGGTCCGGTTAGTAAGGATACGTTCCCCTTGCCATATAGCTGCGGAATTCCGCCTTAGTTCTTGAAGCATGGTTCTGGGTCGACCATTTTTGTACCGGCCTTTGATTGCGACTCAAGTTGAGCAATGGCGTTGACGGTCTCAACTCAGGTGGGGCTGGTCCGGCTGGCGAGGATCCTTCGCCAAGGCCGGCCGGTGGGGCGCATGGGACCTGGGTCGCGAGGGTCGAAGGAACGCGCCGAGACGCAAACTCGAGAACCATCCAGGGGCCCAGGACGATTTTGGAAAGGAGGTTTTTATTTGGACCGCTCTCCGTGCAGAAGCAGCCCCGAGTTACCATCCCGCCCGGGGGGGGGGGGCTTTGACCAACTGCCATCTTGACAGCCACCCTCGCTTTGTCCTCCACAGTGACCACCAAATGCCAGGCATCTGGGAACTGCTGATAGAGGTGTTCTATTGCTGATTTGTACGCCTGAAGGGTGCCCAAGCTGACATGACCAGTTGGCCGGGCCGTCGCCCATCGACAGCCAGCCTCTGAGAACTTCGCCCGTTGGGCTTTCCCTGCAATCGAGACCCACACTGCGAAGTCCGCGAAGGGTGGTTGAGCAGACCGACATGGGCAGAAAAGCGACGAGGATTCAGGTCATTAGATTGAGGGTGTAGTTGAGCGGCACGGAGGGGGGAGGGAGTTCATGGAGAAGATGAACAGCATGCCGTTGGAGCCGAGAGGAGAGCAACTGGCGGCCATTCAAAGGAGGGCGGAGCTCCTCCGCCTATCTGGTTCCCACCTTGGTCCTTCTTCCTTGCCAGAACCCTAAAGCCAAGTTCCTTGCCTGCAACTCCTGAAGGCCAACGCTTCCTGGACATTGCACCTGGGACAGAACCGCACAGATCTTTGCACTGCCACTGCCCCTGCAAGTACGTCCGGAGCAGGGCCAAGGAAGGTGAAGAATATGTTGTTGCAGTTGGTGGGCAGGGTGCTCCGCAGATGTCTTGAAGACGCAACGGGAAGCGGTGCGGCTGTACGGATTAGGGATGGCGGGCTATTTTTTAAAACTCCCTTTATCGGGTTGATGGGGGGAAATCTCCCTTTTCAATTCCCACCAACCAATCCATCGGAGAGGTGGTATAGTGGAGGTGAATAACATTGGCTTTTTTCTGGGCAAGATGAGGGCTAGATAGACTTCAAACATTTGATAGGACGGGCCGGGTATTCCACCTATATTTTACCCTTACAACTTATGATGTATTTAATTTTTGAAAAATATAAATTAATTTGGTTTGATATTATTTATATTAACATTTTGATATATTGGATTGAATATTTACTCGATCTGAAATTGATGATTAAATTGGATTGGATTGGATTGGGTTAGATTGGGCTTTAATGGGTTAAATCGAGAATTTTGAATAGAAAATTGATATATGAATTATATAATATGTGTTTGTTTGTTTTGAAAATTTTAATTTAATATAAATAAAGGATGAATATAAGTTTTGTAAATTGAAATAGAGTTGGATTTATTTGAAAAATTAATTGGTTTTGGTGTTTTAGGAGTTGATAAAATTCTTTTTTTTTTTTTTAGGGTGTTATTTGGATATATTAATTGAATAAGGGGATTTTGGGTGAATAAAATTCTTTTTTTGATATATTTTATATAGAATAACTATATTTATTTTATTTTTAAATTTAAAAAAATAAAAATTTTAATTATATATATAAATATATAAAGGCCGATATATAAATCATAAAAATATTATTTAAATAGATATTTATTAATAAATTATATTATTAATATGTTATATCATCGACCATTTTAATTGTTATAAAATTATGAATTTATTATATAAATCTATTATTATAATTCTAAAAAAATGGTAAAAGGATAAAGCCATTTATTTATGGATGATTTTTTCTATTTTAATTTTAATATTATTTATTAATTTCTTTTTATATATTAATATGCCCTAAAATTGTTTTTATATTTAATAATAAGAAAATTTAAAATTAATTAGGGGAAACAAAAATTTGTTTATTATGATAATTATAAGCTAGCTTAATATTATTTATAAAGCCCATTTCGATTTACTTATTGTTGTTTGTATTTTTGATTCTATTTATTTTAGTAGGAATTACAAAAAACAATTAGTGTGGTGTAAGTTTATACTTAGAGTTGTATAGCGGACATTAATGGTTATTGAATCTTAGTTCTTTAGTGACATCCTTATTGTTTTTTTTGGGGATTTGTCTATTAAAAATATTTTTTTCCCAAAAAGGGTTTGTTTTTTTTCTAGGGTTATTAAATAAATGAGGAAATATGGCAAAATATAACGGCAATTATTTGAACTTATGGTTTAATTAGATTACCAATAAAATAATAGGGGTTTATATTTCATCTTCAATATTTACATTCCAGAATTGTCATTCTCGAAATTGGATTAATCATTCTTTTAATGGGGGTTGAACCAAATCCCCCCGTTTAGTAGGGCTAACCTTGTCAGGTTTGGATTTGGATTGGTTCTTGTAGAAGGAAATTGGGAAATAGCCCCGATCTAATTAGGGGGGGAAATCGATTGTTTTTTTTTTTTCCTCCAAAACATGATAATCGAAAGATTTGGGACTTCCCAATCCCCGATAGAGCTCATGTTGGGTTTAGTCGTTACTTGTTGGGTTTTGCAATTGTCCAGGAATAGGACAAAAAGAAAATCCATATAGGGCGTATGTTCGATTTTAATAAAATTTAGGGATTATTTTATATTATTAAACAAAATAAGATAATTTTAATAGAATTTAGAGGATATTATATTGAATATTTACGGGTACAATTTAATATATTATGTTTTGCATTATATAATCTAAATTATTTTAAATTTGAATAATTTAAAAATAGAAATTATTAATATATATTATTAGGATATAAAATCCGAAAATCTTTTGGTCGTTGTTTTAATCCGATTTTTAAATATTATATTCGATTTATAAAAGAATCAAATAATTTTTTTAGAAGAATAGTTTATTTTGTAAAAAAACAAAACAAAACAATATACCGTAAGCTACACAAGCGCACCGCACCATTCCGTTTCTCTAATTATTACGCTTCTCACACGCTATTCCCTAATTAAGATTGCATATGTTAATATAATTACCTAAATAAATTATAAGTATTAATAGTTCGGCAAATATAAATTATTATATATAAATTAATATTTCTTAAATTAAAATTATTAAGTTAAAATATAATTATTCGAATTTAATATCTAAAATAATCATAATATTTTAACTAAAATAAGAATATAAATAAATCAATTATTTTTCTAATCTCTTAATATAATATTTTTTGTTAAAGCTAAACCAAAAAAAAACCTCGGAAAAATATCTTCGATTTTAATTTTCGTTTCTTGGTATAGCAGGACAACAGGACAGCCCAGATCCCCCGCTAAAAGTCCGCCGACATTGTTCGGATAGAGTATAACCCCCCCCTTAGTCCCTCCCCGGGACATGTCAAATACGCATGGTTTTTCGGTCGCCAACCCCCCCCCCCCCCAATTTCATGACGTTCCACTAAACGTAATCTTCGGGGAGCGGGTCTGGAGAAACGGGGGTCCCAGGCTCGAATCCTCCCGCCGTCTCTTTCTACCGGCTGAGGTTTTGTGCTACCTTTTGCGGAAAACTTTGAGACACATGGTGTTCGGTGTTTTTCCTCTGCTAACACCATTGAAAAAAACACATTGTGTTTTCCGATTTCCTTGGCAATTGGCACCAATTTCGTGCAATTTCCCCTAATTTCCCCCAATGCTTCCCTGCAAATTGCGCCTTACTTTCTCACCAATTCCCTCCCACTTTCCTTTCAATTT